TTAAAAAAAAAAAAAAAAAAAAAAAAATGTTTCTTACAAAAATGAAATCCTTGTGTTTGAATGTTTTGTTCAAATACTCGATGTGGGATTCTTGTAATCACTTCTCATATTGTTCTTCATTATTTGCATCTGACGTAATCTTCTTCAGGAAAGTTATAGAACAGTAACAAAGAAAGAGGGAATTGAGCTGGCCAGGGAACACGGTTGTCTTTTTATCGAATGCAGTGCCAAAACTCGAGTCAATGTACAACAGTGCTTTGAAGAACTTGTTCTAAAGGTAAGAATATGAGTTTAGTACCACCACTTTTAATTCATCTTCTGGGCAAAGGATTCATAATTGGTTAGTAACTATCAGGAACGTGTTATTTCTCCGTTGTAACAATCATCATGTCTGATATTTTTCGAAAGAAAAAGGCGGTCACGTATGAGATTTTTAAAACCTCTTGTAAAGTCATGTTTGAATAAGGGTATCTTGAACTTAAACTGAATTCTGCATGGACGATAAAACGCGATAATATCGAGTCTTATATGCAGATTCTCGAGACGCCGAGCCTTTTATCTGAAGGGTCTAAAGGAGTGAGAAAGAACATCTTCAAGGAAAGGCCTCCACAGCTTGATGCATCCACAAGCAGTTGTTGCTGAAATTTGATTCATTTGCTGGTTATTTTCCCAAGTTATTTGTAAAACTATAGTAGAAAAGCATGGTGTTACAGTTTTATTATAATATCACTCACAAATTCTGTTACAAATTGAAGGGGGTCTTATCTTCGTGCTGGCTTTCTTTCTTGTACAGGCAAAAGTTCAAAATTGGAAATATAAGATTTCATCCTTTCATGTGTGTCATGGTCTCTTAAGTTGCGATGTCATCACAGTGGAACCAGAAATACTCGGTAAGTGTTTCCCTTATTGGAGTTAGATTCAAGCACATACAATCACGAGTGAGACCTATCATATCAATATATATTCCTTTTAGGCGGCTGTCCTAAGCAAGTAATTGGATACGTATTTATTCTACACACAGTCTACACATCCGAGTATGAATCCACCATTTAGTTTACACACCTCTTGGACCCCTTCCTTGGCCAGGCTAGCATGTGTCCATATCATCATAAAAAAATGGATATTCTCCGATGCATGAACACACATATGCATGAGATCCCAATATTTTCCTTTCATTAATGTACAACAACCCCTTCTATTTTTCTTTATATCACATCATTTTACCAGATCTTTTGATGCATATATCGGGGTTGTGCGTTACGTCTCCCTACCTAAGGTTATATACTATGTGCCGTTGTTATTTCTCTCTTTGTTGCTTATATACGTCTCTTTCAAAAATCTCTCTCTGCCCTCGTTTTCTAAAACCTTCTCTTAAAACCGAGGCCAGAGGCTCGAGCATACGTCGCTTGGCCGTAGGTGACGCAAGAACCAATTGGCTTAGTTCATTTGTCGTTGGAAAGTGAGTGCCGCACAATTGCAAGTTCGCTGCCATCAAAAGTGCGATTGTGATACGTTAAAAAATAGCTATGTATCTGTTTTCAATGAAAAATTTTAGAAAATGATGCAATTTACGAATTAATCGTACATTTTTTTTTTATATCTTTAAAAGATTTGTCCGAGATTCTAATATAGCAGTTATGTTGTTAGGACTAATATTTAGTTCTAGCACTTATGGTGTTTGTTCTGTCCGTCCGATTTTGTATCGTCATTTCTATCAACGAAAAAGGTGTCTAAGCATCTTATTTCACGTCAAATATTTAGCCAATTTATCATGGGAAATATGAAAATAAGGCTGAAAAAGTACTGATTCCACCAAAACCAATGGAAATGGGTTCTGCAAATGCAAGAGTTCTGATTCCCCATCTTCCATTTCCTTCTTCTTCCTCTCATGATCCTTCAACAAATCCTAACCCTAAGCCTTCAAAGCCACTCTCATTTTCTGACCATTATCGATTACCGACCAGACGTTTGATGCTCTTCTCCCTCCCCTTGCCCACTCCATCCGATTCAACCGAGATCTTGCGATGTGAGTTCTTCTGCAAGAGAGAAGCGAGTGCTGCCATTTTTCGAGGAGTATCGGAACCTGGGGAGCTTCTTGATAGAGGCAGGGAGTTGCAAGCTCTTGGCGATTTCAATCAAACTCTTCTCTGCTTCACTGTGGTTCGCACTAATTCTGTACATTTGTGCTGCGTAATCGAATTCTGTTTTTTCAATTTTAACTTTCGTGCAAATATGTTTTTGTAGTGATTCAGTTGCAACAACTCTGATTGAGGACTTTGGATTTGTAAATTAATTTAACTTTTAAAAACAATGTTCAGTCGTAGTTGATTCTTTATTCTAAAATAGAAGTTCACAGTTCTGTAAATTGATGCTTAGCCGAAGTTTCCATTCTTCAGAACCACCTAATTTTAGATATAATGTTTATTAAACTTATATGACGAACATTATCAGATTGCAAATGGCTTTCTTCCAATATAAATGATATAATAAAGGATTTGGTCAAATCAAGAGTAAATCTATCACTGATGCATGTCCTACATTTATGGTTTCTCTTAACATTTTGCACGCAAAACTATGTGGAATGATGAATCATGTGCAGTACTGTGTCGTATATTGTTTTGCAGAAGAGCATGCGGCAATGGATGCAGCTTTATGCGTGGATGTTCATGCTCCATTGCTGGCTGAAAATCAATTCACCATTACCACTTTGCTTGATTCTCATTATGTGAATATCTCATATGTGAAAGAAACAAAGCACTGACCTCCCTCCTAGTTTGATTAGTTCATTGCAACAGTTCTGTACACTTTCTTAGACATCTATAAGAATTTGTATGCATAAAAAGCTCTGTAAGTGGACAAATTTTTTAGCACTCGGCTGGATGATAATGGAGGCTTCAAAATTTTCCTCCTTTTATCTTAAATGTTGATTGGTTCCTACTAAGAAAAGGGAAGTCACCATTTAAAAAGGTGACACTGCACTGATTTTATACTTGTGCATTAACTTTCTAATGGCGAGACCACAATTGTTCTAAAGTTCTTGTAGGTCTTTTGTGGGTCCTCATATTAATAGAAATTGCTCTTTTACGACAATTCGGGTGTTCATAGAATTCTTTCATTCATGCAATTTCCCTCACTTTTTCAAGAAAGTTCACAGCAAAGTTTTTGCTTCAAGTAACTTTTGGTTTGTAAAACCACAGCCTTCTCAATTATTTACTGTTCTGATGTTTGTATTGGCAAGGAAAAGTCCCATCACAAGTACCTGTCGGAGCTGCAATTCCAACAAATGGAGAAACATGCTGGGTCTGATGTGCTTTCATTCAAGCAAAATGCCATTGCTGACAGGCCAAGCAGGAAGTGCTTCCAGCAAACTGAGTGGGCCATCAACCATGTGCCCTGCCCCTGTCTTTCTAAATCACATGTAAGTCTCTGCAATTGCTGATACTATTTTTGAGCTGAAACTTGTCATGATTGTTAATCAGGTGTATTATGTCAGGTTCAGGCTGTTATTTGGCATTGGAGACTTGATCCACACATCATCAACGGCTGTGATTCTGCTTCAGGTTCACTCAATCTAATCTGCTTTAATGATTTGACGATGTATCCTAATAGATTTTGCAGGCTACATAATGTAAAGCAAAAGAAGAAAACAAACGGACGGCCCCATCAAGGCTGTGAGGGATATAATATCATTATTACACCTTATAGTTTTCTTTTGTCCTCAACCCATTTGGATCTAAGAAGCTTAAGCAGGACTCTTGCCTTTGTTTTGGTCATTGCACTGCACTGACTTTGCAGAAGCAGAAGCAATTGACTCAAAACTCCATCTTTAATGGCCTCTTCCCTTGCTTCTACTGAATCATAACATAAACTTATAAGTGAACTAACAGCACTTTCACTACCTCCATGATCTGACACTCTAAAAACCATCTTCACAATAGCGTTTACCCCGTTTGGATTATTCATCACTTCCTCTTTTGCTCTTCTTATCACCAAAAGCTTCTCAATTGCTGCCATTCCCACTCGTATAGAGCTTCTTTGTCGTTGTTGTGCGTTGAGAATGTATGTAATAAGCCCACTAACCGCACCTTCCGCAACCAAATTGTCTATGTTTTGTTCCAATTTACTTAGTGACCATATGGCCTTGGTTGCAGCATCGGAGGCCTCTGAATTATGATGTAGAAGTTGCACGATTTCGTGCAAAAGCTCGGTGCTGCTTCCTAGCAAAGCACTTAGATCTTTAGCCTGAACTGAAGATGAAATTGCCTCAACCAGATGACACAAACTGATCTTGACCATGGCAGTGCCATGGCTGAACAAAACCAAGAACCTTGATAGTTTAGAATCCTCCATTAACACATTTAGGGACTGTATCTGATCAAGAGAGACCATAGTAACCACAAAACCAAGGGCTTGCTCTACAAATTCCTGATACTCTTGAGATAGTTTAGCTTCTGTTTGACCAAAAACCAACTCCAAGAGCACTGACAAGAACCCAAATTGGATCAAACAAGAATTACAAGGGGACTCCTCGTATAAAATCTTCACTCTTTGGAGAACTTGAATCTTGTATCCAAAAGAAAACTCATCAGATTCAAGTTTGCTTCTCAAAGCAGACATAGAATCAATAGATGAAACGCAGTGAGGGTTGATTTGGTCACTCATCTGCAGCCACTGAGTAATCAAATGGCGAAGAGTGTTGTTAGGAACAAAAGAAGGGTCATGAAGCCTCTGCATTGTTACAGGACATGTGAGATTGCCAGAGGCCAACCATTTCTGAATGCTGGATCTTTCATAAGTGTGTCCTGTGCAAAGGGTCACAGGATCTTTCAACAAATCCAAACTTATTGGACATCTAAACAAGTGAGGAATGGTCGCCTGAGCTTCTTTCATGATAAACCAACAACAGGGAGGGAAACAAGAGAGTGGGTATCACTATAAGAAAGAGAGATATGGCGAACTTTGAGAAGTGGATTATAAAAGAGTTGTCAAAGGCTTTTTTAGAAAGCAAAAGGGTGAAGAAGAGTAGGAAGTGATGGGAAAGAAAAGTAGGCAATGTTCAGACTTACACAGTCAGAGAGAGTACTGATATGCTGTGAGCTAATGCTGTTCATACTGACAGACATCACAGCAGAGAGTCAGTATAGGATCAGAAGAGAGAGGGACAAAAAAGGGCTTATCCTTGTGAGAGATGAGCAAAGTGAGCTTTGCAAACAAATAACAAAAGGTGGGCAAAACAAGAGAAAAATATGGGTCTTATTCCTTGAGAAACAGAGAGACCAATCATATAAGACTTTTTAGGTTCCCATTTAGAATCCATCCTAAAATACACACAACTATATTCCTCCATAAATGTAATAATTTTCCAAATTAATTAGATTTATTATTTATAATAATATAGTGGTCAAAGATGACGATGATGAATGAAGTTGATTAAATATGGTAGCGCGATTGGAATTTTAGAGGTAAACTATTGACAATTTAGAAGAAATTAGACTTTTTACTAAACTTGTGAGATATGAATAAAAGAAGGGTATTCCAACAAAGTGCATCTTTCTTTTTTGTTCTTCAACTATAGGAACTTTATAATGTTATGTTAGGTAACATTTTGAGAATTTTACTAAGATGCATGTGAGTGAGGACAAACATCTTAGAACAGCTCGTGTTGATTTGTGAAAGTAATTTTCATTCTTAAAAAGCGAGGAACAGGTAATGTGACCACGTCATAGGGTAATACTAAAGTCATCCAGTGCTGAATCTTTATCCGAATTTTAAGTATGAATCGATACAAAACTTTTTGAATATATGAGATTTTAGAATCAATAAACAAAATTGGTACCAAAGTTAGATTTTAGGTAATCATTTGGACATTGTGTTATTTTTTCAAATGGGATGAATGCATGCAACCCCACCATATTTATTTGAAGGGCGGCGGCCATGGCATCACAAACACTGCCAAACCTCCCCACTCCTCTACCCGTGTCTACTCTATTCTTCCTCACTCTCATGGGATCCATATGCATTATAAAATGAACTCCTTTTCATACCTTTAGAATTCTTTTCATCCATCTATTATGATTTTTTAAACCAATAGTGAAAGTAAAGTCTATATTTTCTTCTATCTTTTGCATTCTATTATTATTATTTTTCATTGGATGACGATTATATTATTAATTATTATAATTTATCGTTGAACAGGTGAATGAAAAAGAAAGGTAGACTATTTTCATTTTGAAAGATAGATTGCTTTATTTATTTATTTATTTATAAAGCCTAAATATGACTTTGATTAATTTACTTTTTAACTTTTTTTCTATTTAAATGCTTATATACGTGTTGTATCAAAATTTAGATTGTCTAAAAGTGTACCTTTAATAGGAGAAGAAAAAACACTGGATGGTAAGTTAGTTACACTTCGATGTTTAGTATTTAAACTCATATATATGTAATATATACCTGAGTATCCTAATCTTTTTAGAGATCTCGTTGGACTCTCGGGTAGCTAAGGGTTAATTAAGCGAGAAATTAAAATGGAGGAAAAAGGGGAGTGAATATCATAAGGGGTAGGTTAGAATAATTTAGGTTTAATGTTCCTTCAAGATTAGGTTAAGTTTGGCCAAAAGATTTAGGAAGAGAGGGAAAGAGAGAGACACATCCAAGCTACAAACAGACAAATGAAAGAGCAATGTACAAAAGAAGTCAAAAACAATAATTTATATTTACCAAAAAAAAAAAAAAAAAACAAAACAAAAGATCTTTGAACACAATCTTGTCGGCCAGTTCAAGATTTCAAATTACACTAATAATTATCTTTTCTATTCTGCAAAGCTTTGAATTTATCAAATCCATGCTTTTTTTTTTAATTATTATTATGAATTTATGCATCTATAATATTAAATTATGTTTTTTTTTCTCTTTTTAAATATTTTATTTTAGGTTTATATAATTTTTACTAAATTCTTAAATTTTAAAAGGGTATTATCATTTTATATTTAATAATAAGTGTTTAAGCACAAAATTAAAAGTTTAATTTCTTATTAAATGAAGTTTGTCAGTTTAATCCTATGTGGAAGAGCCCGAGCTAAAGCTCAACACATAGGAGGTTGAATGCACGATGAGTCTTTTATGAAATAGGGGACCAAAAACAGGACACAATAGATGGGTTTGGTTGAGTCCAAAGGAGGTTCGATTTTTCATTAGAGGACACCTTATAATCTACTTAGTAATTTGTTTTTAAATTTTGTACCCACTATTTTCCTATACTTCTTTCAAGGCTAGAAATGCTCATTATCTTCTTTGACTCTATTTCTTTGTTTATGTTTGTTCTAACACAACTTTTTATTAATACCAATTGAAGAGAAATTACAAGACGCTCTTTAAAAATTACTCTTGCACTTTGTGCTTTGTATTTACTGGGTTGGATGAAAATCCAGGTCAAGTGGAAGTAAATTTATATTAGAGGTTAGACAATCTATTATTAAAATATTTAGAAAAAATTCTTAAAATCTTCTATCTTGATCTACTACATCTCGATGTCTTCTCTTAGGACGTTTTCTCTAATTAAATCGCAGTGCACCTCCATATGTTTTGTTCTAACATGAAGCACCAGATTTTTTGCTAGGCAAATCGTAGATTGGTTGTCACAATGAAATGGTATTGAATAATCAATTTTCTAGTGTCAATCTTTCATCAAGAGTTTTAGCCATGTACTTTTCTAAGCTGCTCCAGCCGTTGTTCTGTACTCTTCTTCTCTAGTTAACAATGATACTGTTAGTTGTCTTTTGCTACACCAAAAAATTGTTTCTGAATCAAGCATGAACACATACCTGATGCTCGATTTTCGAGTATTGTGATATCATGCATAGTCAACATCACGGTATCTAGCTACTTGTAGTCTTCACTACTTTTGTACAAAAGATCATAATCAATTGTACCTTTGGAGATTTGGTGTGATTTGGTGAGCATCACTTATCTAGCTAGCTTGTTATCAAATTTAGTGAGCTTTCATATTTCATATTGCATGCCCAAATTCCCTCTGGAGATTAAAGCCTAGGGTCCTACCTGGCCCTTCAACAAATCTATGTTTAACACTCGTGTTTACTTGTAGCCCTTATCTTGTTTATGCCCTCGTGTTTACTTGTAGCCCTTATCTATGTTTATCTTCGTCGGTTGCATCATGGGACTCATCTAGGCCCTCGTGTCACTTGATGGATATCACTTGAGGGTTGCTGTCGCAACGTGAGGATCACAACTTACTCTCTTAATAGCAAACTTGTGACATCCAACATCTCCCACCTTGATTCGTCCTCGAACCACATCTTACTAAGAAACATTACCGGTAAGTTTTGAAAGTTAATTTTCTTCCAAAAATTTATGGCATACTAGAATGTGGTGCAATAGAGAAGGGTTTACATTCTAGAGTGGTAGAATGAGGCAATTTTTTGTAAATTCAATGACGATGCTTATTTCATGCACTATGTTAGCACGTTTTCTTAGATTTAGTGAAATGCTGCTAAGCTATTTATGTTATTCATGAAAGTTATGTTTATGAAAGAATGAAAGTATGACCCACATCATAATTATATGCCATGATTTAACAATATGGAGACTTCATACATTTTGTGTCAGGTGCATCGGAATATTTTCTCCTTATGATAAGTACGAACGAGTACACTATAATATTGTACACACCATGATATTATGTG